GGCTGGGATTAACGTGACAAGGACTAAACACAGGATGGAAAGGAAAGGGGCTGACACTGAGCAAACACATCACCACAGGGTGTTTGGTGCAGGTTTAAATCACACCACAAGGCTAAAGCTCCACAGCCGAAGAACCACAAATACTGGGGTACCACAGTTTTTTTTGTGCTGTTGCTCCATAGGATTCTTCCTGGTGGAGTTTCTCTGAAAGGAACGTTTTCCTTACATTTTACCCTTCAATTTACTGTGTATTCCACAGCCCAGCAAAGTCAAGACTTTATCAATATCCACTGTTACACAGCAGACAATTAAATATGACCTGGCCATAAATAACAGTTAAGGAATACTGGCTTTTTTTTTTTGTAAGGAATACAGTGCTTTTCTTAAATCATAAATACAACCTCATGACACAACCTGTGTGAAAAGAAAACGGATCCCTCGCTCCCCAGCTACACCTCAGGTTAAAACATCGTAATTCCTTCTCCTGGGAGAGAGGCTGGCAGGTATTAATTACTTGTAGTTGGTCAATTAGGGCCCAGGTGGCAGGAAGCACACAGGAGAGTGTGGCTCCATACTCATGGGGCTGCAGGAAAATACATGCAGAGGAATTAAGACAAGGAAGCTTGTTGGAGTCACAGGAAGGATCCCCCTTGTTGTGGGACAGCATAAGCCAGGGCAGGTGCCACTCTGTGCTCCCTGCCTGGCACACTGAGAGTCTCAGGACTTGTGTGGTGCCTGGAATGCCAGCTCTCCCTTGCCAAAGCAGCGAGGTTTGGGCTCTTGGGTGCCTGGAGCAAGCTGGAACATGTCACCCAGCTCCACTGGAGGCTCCTTTCCATGGCTGGTTCCCACAGTACAAATTAAAACAATGTAATTTTAACCAGTTACATAATTTTACATCCAGACTCGGTGCCTCTTGGGGACAGAGGGCCACATCCTGTATCCCTTAGGAATCCAGTTTAGGTGTGGCTTTTCTCCTTCACTGTAGTGTTTCCCTCCCATCATTTTACACTGTAAATCACACAGTAATTGCACTTTATTGTGCTTAGGACTGTTAGGATGCTTCCTAAGCTTAGTCCCATTGATATAGAGGATCTGCTTCCTCTCCATCAATCACCTTTGTCAGCAGCTGGATAACTCTGCTGGCTTTTTGACAGCAGAAGTTCGATAAATTTCTGCCCCCTCATTGCTCCACTGCGCAAGAGAAAGCTTTCTGACAGCAGCTCGTGGCCATTTTTCAAACACCTCCAAGTGAAAACCTCTATTGCCTAAGCTCTCCCTTCGTTCCCAGGGCCATTAAACTCCCAGGGTGCTCACTGGAACATGTGGAGAGGTTAATCTTGACTGCAGAATGTGAAAACTGCCCAGCTTTCAGAATTAATACCGGCTTAAGTAGAGTGTTTGACATGAGCACCCAAAATAAAATGGCAGCTGACTTTCAGCAAAACCCACCCTTTTCCTGGGGCCTCTGGAGAGGCAGCAGAGAGGGAACCTTATTTTTTCCTTTCAGAAAGTCACTCTTCATTAGGTTGTACATTATAGTTGTATACTGACATTTTTCCTTTAACATCCCCCTTCTTCAGCGCTGAACTAAGATTTGCCTCCCCATGTTTTTCCCAGTGGAAGGCACCAAGCAGCCAGGCTGCTCCACAAGCCCAGCAGGGTCTGGGTGCATGAGCCCTCTTCTTTGCGCTGTCAGCTTCCAAGGTGTTGTCCTTTTTAGGAATATGGCTTCTCTTCCCTGTATGATGATTTGGGAAAATAATTAGGATTTTTCTCTCACACTTAAAGTGCAGTCACTTGCTTTCCCACACAACCATAGGCTGGAGTATGTTGATTCCTGAAAATGGGCTGCTATTCCAATCTTCTCTTTTTAAGTGGGCAGGGTGGGGGGAGGATGGAAATTACACAGTCCCTCCTCAGCTACAAATTTCCACCCCACAAAATTAATTCATTTAGGCCTTCAGTGAAGCATTTAAGGCTAAAGAGGCTAAATCTGGTAATCTTTACAGTAAGTAAATAGCAAGCTAAAATAGCCAGTGGAAGAACTGTTTGTGCTGCTGGGTTAACACTTGAGTGTTGCTATAAACAGGAATTCAGAAGAAACATGGTGATGGTGTAAACACCTATAAAATAGGGAGTTCTTTGTGCTCAGAGCAAGAGGGGAATGTGTTTGGCTACTTAGTGCTGGCTGAGTACAGCAGCAGCAGGAACATAAAATTCCTGGTGTGCCTGTTTCCTACCAGGCTTTCCAAGAAACAAAAATAAACAGAAAACCTACACCTAAGTGTATACAAACAGCACGTAGCAATTGCCAAGCTCCACTCCTACAAAGCATGTCACACTCAAAACACTAAAACAGCCAGAAACTTCCTGAGGATAATTTCCACTGTGAATGCACCTAAAACACACAGTTTGACATGGCTGAAACATGAAAAAAAGTTTGCAAACTCTGTTTTCTGTGCTCTTTGTTGCTAGAATATGGGTTACAGGGGAAAAAAATTAGTTATCTGTTCTTAAGTCAATGAAAGCAATTCCAACTTGCTTCTGTAGATCTGAAAGAATAAGCCAGAATAAAACTTTTGCTCTGGTTTGGTGCCTGAAAATTGGGCTCTCATTATTTCTTACATAAGGCTCCATAACAAGCTATATAAAACACAAATGCAATTCCCTTCTTCAGAGGAGTCTGCCTTTGTCTACCAGTGAGTCAGCATCATGTGACAGATCAATTTTCTCCAAGTGTAGGATGTGGATTTTGCATATCACACCCTCCAAGGGCACCTGTTGGAAACTTGGGTCGCCCCAGCGTGGAATTTCACACCATACGTAAGGTCGGCTCCGTGGCCTCCCAACACATCAACAGGAATGAGGTGACACCAGATACCCAAGTTTTCTGTCCTCCAGACTTGCCTTTTGATAATGGGGACACAACATTCCTTAAAAATCTCTTGGTTCTCTTGGAAACCCTGCATGTGTCCAACATCCACAGGATCCCTCAGGTCAGAGGGGACCTCAGGAGGTATGTGGAGTTCAACCTCCTGCACAAAGGTGGCTCAGCTGGGAGGTCGGCTGAGGTTGGTCAGAGCTTTAAGCAGCCAAGTCTTGAAAAGCCTCCCAGGATTTCCAGCTTCTCTGGGGACACTGTGTTCCAAAATTTAATTGTGAAGAGCCTGGCCCTGTCTTTTTATAAACCCCCCCAGGTGTGGGCAGGCTGCTGTCAGTGCCCCATCTGCAATAATAATCCAAGATTAATTTCATAAAGCAAAAAGCTAAAATAACACTAATGCACTTTTGTCCAAAAACAAGTGCACAAACTCCTCTGTATTCCTGTCTCTGGAAAAGAGAGCAGCTGCTGCGAGGTGTTGCTTTCCTCCGAGCACGGCTGTTTATAGTAAAGAATACAAGGCTTTGATCAGCCACTTACATTTCCTAAATTGATTCCAACATCTTTGCCAGTGGGCTCTATGGATTCCCAGCATGAGATGCTCCTGCTCATTTGAAGTAGTTGAGATTGTTTTCAATGGAATTTTCCATTATGCTCTGCACTGTCTTCCTTCAAAGCACAGTTTGCTCACTGGGCAGGACTCCTTGTCCAACAGAATGTGCACGAGCTCTGCTCAATACTTCTGTTTTCTTCTCATGATGTTTTACCTCCATCTATTCTCTTGTCTCTTCCCCCCCTATAGTGCTGCCTCCAGCTCTGGGGGCCCAGCACAGCAAGGTCATGGAGCTGCTAAAGCGAGTCCAGATGAGGGACACCAGGATGATCAGATGGATGGAGCAGCTCTGCTGTGAGGAAAGGCTGAGAAAGCTGGGGTGACCTAATTGTGGCCTTCCAGGACCTGAAGGAAGCCCACAGGAAAAGATAGAGAGACTATTTCCAAGGGCCTGGAGTGACAGGACAAGGGGCAATGGCTTCAAACTGACAGAGAGCAGGTTTAGATGGGATATTAGGGAGAAATTCTTCCCTGGGAGGGTGGGGAGGCCTTGGCACAGGTTGCCCAGAGAAGCTGTGGCTGCCCCATCCCTGGAAGTGTCCAAGGCCAGGATGGATGGGGCTCTGAGCAACCTGGGGATAGTGGAAGGTGTCCCTGCCCATGGCAGGGGGGTGGAACAAGGTGGTCTTTAAGGTCCCATTCCATTCTATGATTCCCCCTTTCTCTCTAATGCACTGAAAACAGGGGTGTTAAATGGCACAGACACAGTAATCCTGCCTGCCCTGCAACTCTCCCCCGAGCACCCCAAGGAAATCACCACCATCACACATTGCCTTTTACACAGACATGGTTAAACCCCAACAGCAGCAGCTGGACAAAGCAGCACATTAGGACAGAGGGCAAAGGGATCCACATCTCCAGGCCCCAAACCCATGCTTTGTCCATTAGGCAGCTGCAGCAAAGCAGTCATCCCCTTTTTCCTGTCAGAACCCAACAAAAGATCCCGATCTTACTGACTGAGCTGCAGACTGGGAAAGGGCAAATGAAGATTCACAATACCCACACAAGAACTACTGGGGTGGTGCACCTTACAGCACTACTCACTCATCAAAATACTACACTGCTTTTCGAGGAAAAAAGAGCAATTTTGGCTCTCTGACCTTATTGTGTTAGTTGTTTTTAACTGTATCACAAACATAATTGGCGACATTTACTTTAGTAGGCACAGGTAAAGTACTGAAAAACCAGTTACTAGGAAGCTTTAAAAAACCTCTTTAGAGCACTTTGGGGACAAGAGGAGTCCTGCTGCTCGTGATCCCAGCACTCACATGGCAGCCACTGCTCACATGGAAAAGCAACATTACATAAGGAGTTATTTTCCTCACTGCTAATTTCTTCCCAGTCATCCAGTGCTTCCTGATCCCTGTCTGCTTTAGAGGCACTCTCCAGCTGCCAGAGGATGCAGAATACCAGGAAAATGTGGCACAAGGAAGTGAGAGCCTATCAGTGGTAATAAGGGAGTCAAATGCCTATTTGAGTTACAAACAACAATAAACGCCAGTATCAGATATCTGCAGGTTTATTTCTTTGTAAATGAGATGCCAATTACTCTGCAAACATCAGAGTTTACTTTCCCTTTCGCTTGCTCTGTAAAGGGTGGTGAACCAGCCCATCAGTCACACCAATGTTTAATTACCATTCTTGTTAATTAAACCAGATGGCCACCACTGCATTCACAGCACCGTCCCCATGGAACTCTGGCAAATTCAAGTGTGTCTGCGTGAGCCTTACAAAAAGCATACCATAACCATACAAGTTTGGAACAGAAAGCTCAGAAATTCATATTTTCAGGCAAGGAAACATCCATCAATATACCCAATTCCAGAGCAGCACCACTGATCCCGTAGGAGAAGCGTTTCCCACACAGAACCTGCAGTCTGAGCTTTGACAAAGCAGAGTCCCACGGGCTGCTGCTGCATTCCCGGTGGATCCAGAGGTGTTCCCGAGGCGGTCTGGCAGGGCCACGCTGCCCTCTGGCGCTAGGATTCGGGAAGGGGCTGGCTGGGGGTGCCGCTCCTGGTTTTCAGCTGTGACTGTGCGATATCCGCCAGGGCGCTCTGGATCTTCTCCAGCAGCACATCCCCACGGTAAACCACCTCCTCCAGCCGGGCAGCCGCCTCGTGGTTCTCCTCTTCCAACCGATAGAGACTTGCAGCCTTGGAAAAACAAGGGGGAAAAGTAAGGATTTGCAGTAGGACACTGACGTGACTTTGCTGCTCAAGGAACAGCTCCCAGGGAAAGAAAGATTATCTTTTAGTGCTTGAATTACACACTAACGACTTCAAAGCAGCTTGTGAGGCCTGGCAGCCTAAAACTGTGCAAATCCACATGGAATAAACACCAAAAAAACCTAAATGGAAATGTTAGCTGCTTCATATCATCACTTGGTTCAGTACAGCCTTTCTGATGAGGAGTATTTATCCCCTTCCCCACTCCCTCACTGAAAGGTGCTCAGCAAGATGGCAGCACAACTTCCTTAAACCTTTCATTAAGTAGCACATTTCACATGGAACTGTATTATTAAATAGCATATTTCACATGGAACTGTATTATTAAATAGCATATTTCACATGGAACTGTATTATTCAACCTTTCTTTCTTCAAGATTCTGTTTCAGAACCAAACCGCTTTTGACTTAGACAAAATGTAGTGAAATAAAACATTTTAGCTTCAAAGTATTTTAATACTTTAAAATATCTAGCAAATTTAAAATGGCTAAAACTTGTTCTAACTGGATATCAGAAAAGGCAAAACTAAATACTTTCAAATTGGTATTTTTTTCCAAGTAGTTTTGCAGATCTTTAAAAAGCCAGGCTTAAATGAAGTGGCAAATTCTTATCCACAAATTCACCTCCTATTCTACAACACTGATGTCTTTAATGAAGGTTAATACAGGAGTGAAGGACTTGAGAGCTACTGGAGGAGCTTATCATTTAAGACAAGCCTCAGATATGAAACACAAACCAAGACAATCTTAGTATAAAAAAAATAAAAATAGTTCTGCCAAGTATTTATCTACCACATTTTAGAGCGTTTCAAGCACCTTCAAAACTGTTTCTTTGAAAAATGTCAGAATATTTATCTTTAGTACTGCACCAAACTAAGCAGCAGAAAATACAAATCAAAACTGGAATCAGTAAGTAATAGAATCCAAGCTAACTTATCCCAAAACAAAAGAGATGGGAATTCTTGTGACATGAAATTCTGCATTAGCAGAGCAAGAAACTGTTCAAGTGTCACCCTCTAAGGAAAGCATATCCCTACTGGATAACCAGCTTCTCCTTCTGGAAAATCCTGCTTTTCCTGTCACTTGGATCAGACCCTGCTCAATCATGGGAGAAGCCTGTAATCTGTCTGCAGCAGGAATTCCACCTTCAGCTATTAAAAATGCAGTTCCATGAAATGATGCTGGTGTTAACGAGCCCAATTAGTATGTTGAGCAATTATTGTGACTAGGAACATCTCCAAATTTCACCTCCCCTGTTTAAAACCAAATGTGATGCCACTGTCAAGTCATTTCTGTTTGGTGTAAAGCTTTCGGGTGATCATCAGGGTTGTCAGAGAAACAGCACTCTGCATCCCTGCTGCATTCTAAAAAGAAAATACTTGATGTAAACAGTCAAAAAGGAAATAAGAATATGCTGTTTAACAGGCAAAATCTGTAGGAATAACAGAAAAAAAATTACCACAATAAAACCCAAGTTTGGCTGGTCCAAAGGAGGACTGAAAAGTGAAAGAATTGTTTTGTGACAAAGCTTAAAGGATAACCAGCAAACCCTTTAACAACCAGAAACATTGTAGAAGAACAAAAGGTTTCTGTAAGGTGTGGGCTCTGCAGCTACAAAATGAAATGTGTTCCTAATGAGCAAGAGAAACATGAAACATTATCCAAAGGGAAAAAAAAACCAAAACAACCCCCACGGCATAAGTATTGTTGCATCTGTTCTATTAATATTTGAACAGCTGAGGTGAGCAGTTTCCAGTATTGTGACAGAATGTTAAAAAAAAATGCTTTTAACAGAAAACTAAGTTTATAATATTCTCACTGAGTATAACCTTATTTAGAACTAGATGCAAGTGCAGTACTTGCACTAAGCCTACGAAGCTCTCACAGGCCACTCTCATGAAAAAGTCAGGCTTGTATTGAAATCCTTTTTCAAGATTACATGGCCTAGAGTCTAAAAAATGTGTTTAAAACAGGAAAAAAGGCAGAAGTTTGCCTTGGGGAATGTTCTGGTATTTTAATTAGGAACACTCTTACCTGTAGAGCTGCTGTGGATTCCTCGCTGGGCAGGGAGTCTATGAGCACATCGATGTCCTTGGCAGTGCGGGCGATCAGGGCTGCAAACAGCTGGGCATACTCTAGGAAACACGGAGGGGAAGGCAGGGAATTACTGGGAATCAGCACAGCTCTACACACACAGCACAGGAAAGGCTAGACTGAAGGATGCAGGTCTTAAAAATTTTATCCTGGATGAAGGAAACAGCAGGGCCACCACCGAGGGGAACTCCAACATACTGGAGTCATGGAATCACAGTGGTTTGAATTTGGGTTGGAAGGGACCTTAAAGATCATCCAGTTCCACCCCCCTGCCATGGGCAGGGACACCTTCCACTATCCCCAGGTTGCTCAGAGCCCCATCCAACCTGGCCTTGGACACTT